TTTTACTTCGTATTGACGTCTGAGTGGACACACAATATATATTTATAGGGAAAACATAATACACTAAAATATAAGTCCAATACATTGGACATACATTATATGACATATGATTTTTTACATTCGAGTGAAAACTATATGATTACAGGCAAGAGATAGTTGTGATGGGATTGTAGTCTCCAGTGAATGGGGAGAGAAGTCATTGCCATTTATTAGAGATAACAAAACACACAAAAAGTCTAAAAACACAGAAACTAAACATTTTTGAATGATTTGAATCGCTTTACATTATTAAAGAGTCCATTAATTTATATAATAAAAGGGAAATTTAAATTTCCAATTAAATTATTTAGTAATCGTTGTACTTCTTTACGCAAAATGTTTTATTTCCATTTGTTATTTGCATTTTTCAGTAGTACTCAGAGAGAGAGAGAGAGAGAGAGAGAGAGAGAGAGAATGAGAGTTAAAGAGTAGCAAAAATGTTAACAAAACTAAACATAATGTGAATTTTTGCTGACATTCATGGCCTGTAATTACTTCTTATTTATCAATAATAATATTGTTAAGGAATGGGAAAACAAAACATTCAATTAATTTATCGTAAACTATATGTGTGTTAGAGTGAGTGAGTTAGTGAATCAGTCGAGAGAGAGAGAGAGAGAGAGAGAGAGAGAGACTTTTATTCTATACAGTAATCCATAAACAAATTCTGTGTCAATAAAAGGCAATGGTTTGCAGAAAAATTAGCTATCATTTGATATATACAGTACATGTTTATAGATCTCTCTATTCATGTGTATCTGTCGGTCGTTTGGATGTGAGCGCCCGGAGACATATATTGCAGCAATATTTAAATGGATTAATAATCATACATATTATGTATGTTATTCATAATAGCGAGAGAGAGAGAGAGAGAGAGAGAGAGAGAGAATCTAATGTAATAATGCTATTCATTATGACGACAACTGCTACTAACTATTGGTATGGAAACTATGGGAAAATGTCTGATAAAAATCATGATTAACGCTAATGTTATGAGAGATAATGAGTGTCTAGCAAAGTGTTTAGCAATTAATTTGGTCGACAATTGATTTGCCACTCACTTTGGCGACTGTCGACTAGATTTATGCTATCGATTATAACATTTTATATTATTATTTACTTATTAGACATTAAATTCTTCATCAAATATTCTGTGTGTATATTAAATGGTAATATTCTGTGACGTCAGGAATTAGTTATCATGATTTATTATTATGAATAAAATATTGCCATACGGTGTCGGCTGACCGTAGGTTTTATTATAGCAAACATTCTGCCATTTTTTGGCATTGATTTCCTATTAAAAGTGTCGATGAATTGAATGGAAATAAAGTTTACTTTCAAATCAAATATTGAAATGTAAAAAGATTTTCGCCTAAAAAATTCAATGAATGATTCAAATATCTCTTTCTCTCTCACTTCTCTCCCCTCTCATTCAGTCTGTCTCTCTCTCACACTCTCTCGCAAATATATTTCATTGTATTGATTTGCCTAACAGTCAAAAATTGTTGAATAAAAAAACTTATTTGTTTTCCGAAAGACTTTTTTGCAAATTTATTTTTACGTGTTTTGGATTCTTATGTGAATTCACTTTATTTCGCTATAACTTACTTTCAAACTTAAAAATATATTTATTGCAAATTTTTCACCCAATATTCTCTCTCTCTCTCTCTCTCTCAAAATCGATGACTTAAGTCTCAAATCCTGTCATTTGCAATATATCTGGCAATCGATTTATATGTATCGTTCATAACAAACAAAATTGAATTCCCAACGAGTAATCAAAAACGAAATCCTTTAAATGTGATCACAAATAATGATTACAACTGCGATAAATCCATCATAAAAACAAATTTAACCACGTTTTAGTAACTTTTATTGCTAATTATTATGTGTAATAACACTTCCTTCTCACTGAGCGAGAGAGAGAGAGAGAGAGAGAGAGAGAGAGAGAGAGAGAACATAAAGTTAGTTTTAAAATAAGTGGTGATTTAAACACAGAAAATTTGTATACAAAACGCGAAGGCATTATATTTGATGACATTTTAGTGCAAACGATAGCATTATTATAACAGCAAAACTATTGCCATAATATATATAAATTATATTGTATGTCGACCGACGGCTATACTATGTAGTAAACAACACATTCAAGTAAAACTAAAAACACATAACAATATAAGGATTTATTTATAATTAAATATTTCCAAACTTAGAGAGAAAGAGAGAGAGAGAGAGAGAGAAAATAAGAGTAGCAAAAATGTTAACAAAACTAAACATAATGTGAATTTTTGCTGACATTCATGGCCTGTAATTACTTCTTATTTATCAATAATAATATTGTTAAGGAATGGGAAAACAAAACATTCAATTAATGGCTTTTTGTGTCTAATCTAACGGTCCGTAGTTTTAATTAAAGTCCTCATGAATTATGAATGATATGAAAGAGTTTTTGATGAGATTTTTTTTCTCCTGATGTGTTTGTCGTCTGTGTTATGGTTTGGTATGTGTTGTGGGCGTAAAACACCAGTTAATTGTGTATAAAACTTCGGACCCATTCCTCAAATAACACGTTAACAATGATATTACAATTGCTTTTTTTCGCGTACACTATTGAATGCCAATAATGGTATTTGCAGTACACTATACAGTACACGGCATTTGTGATAAGTCCTGCGAGTTTCCGATTAATTGTTACAAAAGTTTTGTATTTATAATAAATGGTTATTTTTATACCAAATTTACAGTGAATTGTATGCAATGAATGAATGCATAAGAGATATCATTTGCGAAAATCGTTTTAAAAGCATTAAATTTGAATACAAATTATCGTCGGATTTCAACGGATAGTAAAAAAGTTGTTTTTTCTATGACTTTGATGTTTGGTGTCTGAAGACATACTCATGTATACACACGATATATAAGTATACACTAAATAAATAATAAGATCACAAAAAATGATAGATAGTATTAGTGCTCATTACAGACGATAAATATAAAGTGGGAATAAAAATACCAAAAAATATAACTAAATAAATAAATGTTGTGTCAGAGTATTGATAGAAATAATCGATATTTAATGCATTGAATGCGAGAAGAAATATATATATAAATAATAATAAATATATTTATACGGAAACCCGAAATCGAAAGCTACCGAAAAGTATGACTGAAATAGTGATCATAAATATGAAAGAAAAAAGCAAAGAGAAGAGAAAGTGAATAACAGGAATAAATGGATAGAAATCCATAAGATTTGAAATTTTATCGTAAACTATATGTGTGTTAGAGTGAGTGAGTTAGTGAATCAGTCGGGGAGAGAGAGAGCTGGGCACAGGCTGGTAGTATGAGGATAATATGTACAGAATATTCTTGTATAGAATTGATACGAGAATTGAGCAAAATTTTGGGCAAATTCTGTCAAATTTGATTCTGCTTTGACACTATTAGACACAAGAATTTTTATCTTTCTCTCTTGTTTCTCTTTTCTTCCTCTCTCTCTCTCTCTCTCTCTCGACTGATTCACTAACTCACTCACTCTAACACACATATAGTTTACGATAAAATTTCAAATCCTATGGATTTCTATCCATTTATTCCTGTTATTCACTTTCTCTCTTCTCAAATATTCTGTACATATTATCCTCATACTACCAGCCTGTGCCCATCTCTCTCTCTTTCTCTCATTTTCTTTCTCTCACTAATGTATAGAGAAATACAGGAGATTCCGTAGTATTGCATGAGATGTTTGATATATATTTTTTGTTTTGTTGGCAGAACTCATTCCGTCCTAATTCACAAAATGACATTTTAATGCCATTTCGATCCGCCCTATAATTATTCCGACCATTTTTGCTATTATTTGTTACTTTTTATGTTTAGCCCGGCTTTTCTCTCAATAAGTTTTGCTTATAATTTAACACCACTTCTTCTCAATAGATAAGTGGCAAAAAGCAGTTAAATTTACACAAATATATCTTAACAATTGTAATAATAAGGAAGTATAAGAAATCACTAGAACTTTCTTAATAACAATTGAAATCTCTTATAAATCATTACAAATTTTAGACAATAAAATTACATTACATTATAATTTATAAGACATTTTTATGAGTATATATTTCTAATCATTAGTCTTATAAACAAATGAAATTAAATGTACTTATCTTTCAAAAATACTTAACTATTGAATATTTAAATATATTTCGTTTAATAAAAATCTATTTCTCTTTGTCTGTAAATATAATAAAAGTGAAACTTTTTGTGAATGTATAGTATTTTTAGTGTACACTATACGAGGCTATTAATGGTTAACGTATTTTCTAATCACATCTCATATATAAAAAGTCAGAATAATAGACATAGAAGTGAACAATGAAAATAAAAATCAATTTTTACACAATTACGACCACAGAATCAGAGTGTTGGAGAGAGAGAGAGAGAGAGAGAGAGAGAGAGAGAGAGCACAATAATGTACTGTATATATAAATTTTTCGCACCATAACTACAGCGAAGGTAATAATGGTTTATAAAACTAGAGTTAAAGCAAGTCTTAAAATGATTATGATTTTTTTTCTATCGGTGCCCAACCGTTCACTTACACTGTACTATACCTAACACTGCTATCAACTTATTGTATACATATTCTGTGTGTTATTCTCACTCTTAACACAAAATATTGGATTTTATAATATATTTTTCAATCAATACTCAAATCCCTGATAAGTGTTGGCGACAAAGAAGTGTAAAGAGGGAGACGTGAAATTATTTTTGATTTATTTTCTACTTTAACTATAAGATTGTGTGTTAAAAATTTTAAGTCAATAATAAGAGCAGAAAAACAATTTTTTTTATTGTTTTTCATTTTAAAAGTCATTCACAACACATGACAAGTTCTCTCTCTCTCTCTCTCTCTCTCTCTCTCTCTCATCTTTTTATATATATCTCATTGTCTTAATCTTATGATTGTCTTTGTGTGCAGAGGAGTGGTTCTGGTGAGCGTAGATCTGGCGAAGACAGACATTAATCAATGCGCTGGCGATAACTCCTTTTTCTCGGATACGCACAAATGTCACATACATTCACAGGTATTGTACGGACACAACCCCTGGCCATACCCTTTCACATCACCAAAAACTCATAACCCAATCAATATTATCGTAACATCACTACCACTATAGCAGTCAATCACAACCAAGCAATCGACCAAATGTTAATATTCTCACTAATATTCGTGTCTCCCATATATATAGTGTCACCCAATCGAGGGGATGGGCTTCCGTCGGGGGGCTTACATATGTCGGTGTAAAGCCGGCTATTATTTTCCCAACAAAAATAAATCCAGTTTAACGGAGAGCTCGTTAAATGATAATTATTTTAGAGGTAAGCAATCGATCGCAAAATTGATTTTGTTGTTTGTGTTTAATATTACATTATATACAGTATTGTATATATGGAGATAAGTGCAAATACTTGCGGCAATTATTCTGTGATTTATACCAAGAATTTCGCACATAATGTATGCATAGGTATAGCGGTAGAGGAGGCGATGGTGGAGGCGTTGGTGGGCTCGACCAAAGTGGAGAACTCGGCGGCCCTGAGCTACGTGTGCGTGCCGTGCGCTGCCGGCTGCACGAGTTGTTCGGACAACGAACCATGCTACGTTCAATATAACATATTCATCAGGGTCGTAACGCTGGGCGTACAGAGTTTTTGCGCCACCATTACATTGATTATAGCCATCGCTATCTGCAAATTGAGGCGTTCAAAGGTATGGCCCATAAAAACAAATACACACTCGCGCCCAAAAACATACATGATCAAATATTATTACACTTGAAAACTACATACCAGAATCCGCGGAACCATTAAAGGGCACTATTTTGTTGTTTTAATGTTGTATTTTATGTTGTGTTTAATTTTTATTACTAAAAACACTTATATTCTGTAGGTTTTATGTGTGATATACAGTATAAGCCGATATGTATTAAAGTAAATAATCAATAGTGCAAAATATAGCGTATTTTAACGTTAGTGGAAAAACTTTTATTTTTAGTATTTATTATTATATCACTATATGTTTGTGTCGTTTAAAAACTCCATTAAAGTGTCGTAAAGGAAAGAGGAGAGTGAGAGAGAGAGAGAGAGAGAGAGAGATCACGAAAAAACGAGTTGAAAGGATAACATAATTATAAATTAATGGCCAAACCTTTCCACGAGTAAAGTGCAGCTTATGTTTGCGCTCTCTCTCTCTCTCTTTCTTTCTTATCTTTTTCTTCTATCGATAGGTCTTATCTCTCGATTGTATTAATAAAACATCATTTGATGGCAAAGTTGTTGAGGTTTTATGTCTAATATTGAGAGAGAGAGAGAGAGAGAGAGAGAGAGAGAGAGAGAGAAGCAGTTCGCCACACAATTTCTCTGTAGTTTAATTATTCGGCGGAAANGAGAGAGAGAGAGAGAGAGAAGCAGTTCGCCACACAATTTCTCTGTAGTTTAATTATTCGGCGGAAAAATCAGTTTATAAATAAATTTTACAATAAAAACAAAATTTATATAAGTTTTTAGTTTTTTGGTCAATTTGTTATATAGTGAAACATTAATGTGATTTATGATATATACGAGTTCTGGAAAACTAAAACCTCACCAACTTTTGCATATTATCTCTACAACTCGTTAAGACTCTATTAATATTAAAAGTTATAACAAGACATTTACTCAACATTTACTTGATTTTAACAAATTATATGATATACCAAAATATTTATTATAAAATATAACCTAGTACGTGTTCAGGTTTTGGTTTTCCCGAACTTATACTATGTTATATAACTTACTCTATGGTATACTATAGACTATAGTATAAAATAAGAAAAAACATTGATTGAAAATAAATAAATATTTAACCAACAAATCTGTATCCAATAGTTTGTACACTATACAGTATATTTATTTTTACATACATTTACTGTTATCGTAGGTATAAGTATTAGTGAAAATACAAGTCGTTAGTGACCACCTATTAGCGAGGGAGCATCACTACTTATCAATACTCTCTTTCAT